AAATCATGTATATTTTCTAAGTTCACCATCCGTGCAAAATACACGGTTAATCTCACGGATTTGACACGGTTCTTGATTAACCTCATTACTTCAAATTAGAAATGTGCCAAATGAACAAAAAAAGCTATAGGATCTGTCTCTAAAAAATTATAAAACATTATACTGTCAACTAATCGTCCTTTCATCTTTGCAATTGCCATCCTTTTAACATTGTTTCTTTTCTATGACAATTGTTACTCAAAATATAAATAAATTTGATTGGCTCTTATTTCAAAACCGTGAATTTTTCGCGGTTTATGCACGGTTGGCACGGTTCTGTGCGCCATAGTGGAAACGAGGACCTATCCATATGGTTCAGGCGTACGGTCATTGTTAGGCCCCATTCTTCAACCGAAGTGTGAAAACGAATCGCCACTCCTTTGAGTTCGATGCGGTTGACGCACTCCATGGCACGGGCCGGTGCCTCAAACCAGTCGTAAGTTATACCAATACAACACTTTTCTTTAGTTAACTTTGTTTTCATAAACCAGAATGCGGGACTTGATATCCAAGATGAAGGACGAGCCTTTTGGTGTCCGGCTGGAGTGTGGTTTTGTCGCCTCTAACTGGGATAGGGTGCTTCACTCCTTGTTAGAGCAGTACCGGTAAGATGGTATGGTTATATTTTGTCTCTGGGCGGTTATTTAATACAAATTACGCTTAGGGGTACCGAGCTTCAATCATGCATTCAGTGGCATCCGTCACGCGTATTTTGGAATTTGGTCCTCGATAGACTAAACGCCTTGGTTGCTGTCGCCGACAGCATGCGTACTCAGAAGGAACTTTTATATACAGTCCCTAGCTTTACTGGCTTTGCTTTTGTGGTGTATATGCTTTCGTCATTGAGTCAAAGACCAAGCGATTGGTCACATCTTTCACCCGTAAAGGATAAGCTCAAGGAGTTCTCTTGTCCTCGGCCCAGCTTGCTCTTCGTCCCTGGCCGCTTCAAGCGAACAGATGACAAGCAACACTGGTACGGCACAGTCAGTATGCGCAAAGCTTTGAGCAGTATATACGGCAACAAGCTTCTTAGAAGAATTCTGGAGGACTCCGTTCACACAGAATCAGTTGATTCCACGGTGACTTCAGGCTCAAGCGTCTTTCATGTGGTTGCCCCGAGTATACAGTTCGCTCATCTGAAGTTTGACTGTCACTTTTAAGCTCCTTTAATTCTCGAATCCGGCTGGGAATTCTTTTGGCTGGCTGTCTTGTACTTTAAGGCCTATGGTCCTTCCACTGCTTGTGTCGCTCCTTTTACGCAGCTTTTGCTGAAAGAGCTTCTTTCGAAGGCCAATATTTTGGACAAATTCACAAAGGACCTCGATAGTGTACAACAAGCACATCAGCTTGGACATTCCTTTTTTAAAGATTTAAGCAATCTGGACTTGTACTTCAAGGCAATATCATACTTAGTGCCTACTTATCTTTTTGTAATACTAAGAGTAATTTCATAGCCGGATTGCTTTTATATTATGCCTTCTACGAACCCAAAATTCAAGATCGAAAAGTACCTGTTCCCTTCCTTTGACGCCATCAAGACTGACAATGAAGCAGCAGTGGCTGTTATGCAGAGAAGATACTGCTGGAGGAAGTATGAATTTCGTGCTGCTTACATTACTCTATGCATTAATCATCCGGAATTTGAACAAGAGTTGGTGAAGTTTCGTGACAAAGTCCTTAAATACATCTATGAAAATTATGAATTTGTTCCGAATTTGGCTAAAGACAGCATATGGTCCACATCTTATGGTTATGAAATAGTGAAAATCGTCAAGTAAATGCACGTATACTATGCTTTCGTTACATGCCTTTTCTTTTTATGTTTTTACTATATGATATACTTTATGACTTCTACAACATATCTTTACAACTCCTATCATTTTCTTTAACTAAACATTGCTTTCCTTTGTTTTGAACTTTTAAGAACAGGTATTGTATTAGTTATTCCAACTGCTTTTTATAAAAGGGTTGAACTGGACAATAAGAAAACAATAACCTCCAGTTGCATATTGATTTTGGTGTAAAAGAAGTAAAATATACACTGTATCCCAGTTCAAGTTTCGTTATGATGCCACTCTGTCTACGGGCTTCTTTTTCATACAGCAGAGTCTGGACAGATACAACTTAATTATGATAAATTTTTTCAATTTTCCTTTAAAGCTTCTGCTTGAGGCCAACGTTGCGTCCTTTGTAGGTCACTCTCTTACTTGGCCAGGCCCTATCCGATATAGAGAGTCATGTACACCGTTTCTAGAAAGAGATGTCGCGCTGACTTGTTGCTTTTTCATATAAGCTGTATTATAAAAATTGCAAAAATGCAACTTTACTTTCTGAAAAGACTGTATTTGCAACTTCCCAAAAAATGACTGAATTTAAAAGGGAAATGGCTTGATTCTCTGTTTTTTAATCATGACTACAACAATAATGAAAAAAAATAGTAAAGGAGCAATTTCAAAGACAAACAAAGTATTTAAAAAAAGCAACCAAAGTAAAGAAGCGACACATATCGTACATAAAGAAACTCTTTTGAAAGAGATGAAATATTCAAAAGACTTCGATGAGGAATCCAATGTCCCAACTTTCCCTTGATTATGACAATACCAAGTAATATCATTCTCGATATCTCTACGTTAAATAAGAATAATCCAAGAGAATTCCATTGTAAGGGTACCTACCAAGGTGTGCCTATTGAATGTATATACATACCAGTTTGCAATGAGGATCGTTCTCAATACTATCACGAGTTTTATATGTCAGATCGTTTAACTGCTTGCAGAAATATGGGCGTCTACTTTAATATGTTTGAAGCCACTTTGTCAGAAATGAATATAAATTATAAGGAGGTTCCATCAGAAAGATCTGGCTTGTTTCTTATAAGACAACATTATCCAAATGGATGTTTACGTGATTATGTACTTAAAAACAGAGTTAATGGTAATGACCATATACATCCATTCATAATGACAATAATTCATTATATTCAGGCATAGACACAGAATCAATGCATGCAATACAGGCCGGAATCAATTTATTTTCAATGCTAGCTGATGCTCACGCTTTAAACATGTTTCTTGTTGGGATTGATACAAAGAATATCTTTGTCGATATTGATGGTAGTCTACGCTTTTTTGGATTTCGATATTCATTCCAGAAGGGTAAGTCTGCAGAAAAGGCGTTATGGAGTAATTGGAGTGACATTCGCTGTCCAGGTTAGCTCTTTATTTTTGGTTTGTTACTGCACATATATCAACATATACTTTTATATTTAGAGAACGCTTATTTGAATCAAAGTCCTATTCAGAGAAAACCGACGTATTTCTAGCTTGTTCTATCATGCTTTATTTTATACGAAGCTTTGAAAAACGTCAGTCTCCATGGTGGTGTGACCGTTCGAAATCCATGCTTGTTCTGAGAAGAAGTACCATCAGTAAAAAACACAGCCAATTGCTTGATATTCTTCTAATAGGCTTAAAGTATGATCTTGATCAGCGCCCAAAGGCCAATGAAATCCTTAAACTGTTGGAGACTGCAAGAGATCAGTTAATCATGTCCGGTATAGATAAGCAGTAAATGGGTGGCTTATCGCTCCAAAGTTTTTCCTCCCCACCCTCCCTTCCTTTTATAATACAAACACTTGCATACACACAAAAGGGGAAGAGCTGTTTTTTTTTAATTATAATTTGCCAACAATAAAATATGATACCTTGCATTTCCAGATCTACTAAACTAATCAACACTGGTAAAAAGACAAAAGGACCAAATAAGGAAAAAACTTAGCTGATAACCTGTCAATAGGCATAAAAACAAGTGTCTCAATGCTGCGACATGCTTCAAGAAACTATACAACTCGTCAAGAAGACGATAGACAGGATACAAATAATGAACATGCTCATTTTTGGGAACCCCCTCCTCCTTCTTCTTCAGATAAATTAGATTCATCAAAAAGAGTAGATCGAGATTTTGAAATATTGCTAGAGACTCTATTTGATGAATCACTTAATACCAGAGACCCATTTGTTCCTTCATCCATTGAACCACCAAAGAGAATTAGACAAAATGAATCCATTATAGAGAAAAAACTACTGGATCTTGTCAAGAATAAGGTTTATAAACCCAAAGCACCACTCCCAAAGAGTATATTTTCAACAGTACAACATTCGACAAAGTACGAAACAAAGCAAAAGAAGCCAAGTGGTAGTATTTTGGATGAAATAGAGCCCTTTGATTACAATTGGTATAAAGATAAAGTGACAAATGATATACGTATCAAGAATAAGGAAAAGGAACTACAGCTGATAAATGCTATTGCTGAATCTGAATCAATATACGAGCCATTAACTGTCTTGTTTGATCAAATCAATCAAGAGACTTACCCAGACTATTATCACAGAGTTATAAAGGCAGCCATTGATTATACATCAAAAAAGGATCCTTATTTGACATTGTCAATATTTGAACAAGTCAAGGAAAAGAGTATCAAGAGTTACGTAAGTGGATGCACAGCTGATGTTTATAATGCAATACTTTTGTTAAGATGGGAGACATGGAAAGATGTTTATGGAATGCTAGATTTATTAGAAGAGATGTCATCAAATGGTATTGCAGTCAACAATGAGACTAGGAATATTGTAAGAATGGCTGTGAATGAAGTAGAGCAAGAAGAGCAACTGAGTGATGACTATCAAGGCATCTACTGGAATATAGAAGAAAAAAGAGCCTGTAATATCATGAAGGAAATGGCAAACAAATGGTTAATTCATTAAATTATTGATTGGTGTTTGACAATAAATCCGACAAAAAAAGTTGTCAATTCACTTGACTGTTTATGGGGTGCGTCAGTCAAATTTGACATTTTTTTCTTATTTCTTTCTTTCTCTCTTTCTCTCTTTCTCTCTTTCTTTATTCCTACTCATTATCATGGTTAACACTCGTAGTTCATCTAGAATTGTAAACAAGGCCAAGGCTGAACAATCAAGAGTGACAAGAAGAAAGATGCTTACGGAAGAACTCGTCTCTGACAATGATTTTCAAGACCCAATAATTGGCCCTACTGAAAGCACCATGGCTCTTAGGAGAAGTCCTAGAAAGCGCTTGAGAACAAGTACGAGCAGTACAAGCCTTAGTAGTACCAGTACTTCTGTTAGTGCTGCTAGCCCTCGCAAGACCCGTAGTCGTCAAACGAGTGTTATCATTGAATCTCAAGCTCACAAACAAGAAAGTGATGAAGAAGAGAGCGATGAAGAAGAAATTAATCCTTCGACTGCTGCTTCTTTCGATAGTGACGAAGAAGAAACTATAGATAGTGGTATCGTAACTGCTAGTGAACAACCATCCGATTCCGTAGCAGATTCCTTAGAGCCTGAGTCTGAGTATGAATTCGCGCGACTTGAATCTCAAGATGAGCAGTACCAGTTAGAGGAAACCCAAGAGCCTGAAACAGAATTCAGTCAGTCCGCTCAAACTTCGTCTTCATCATCTGACGAAGAAGAAGAAGAACAATTGGCGGCTACGCGGAGGCGAAGATTTGTAAGAAGACAAAGAGATCCAGTGGTGGGTGTACAAATATATAGCAATTAGATAACAATATTCACTTGTTTTTCAAGTATGAGCGCAGCAGAAACCATGTATTAAAGCATCATCCTGAACTCAAGACTGTCTGGGATGACCTCAAGAATACCGAAAAGGCTCATATTGAACCTATTGAGCAACCAAAAGAACTATCTTTGCCTCTTTTACCTTTCCAAAAGTATGGTGTTGGTTGGATGATACAACAAGAGTCTGTCAATACGGTAAGTGCCTTAATAATATGACACACACATGTTAATCTATCTGCTTTTGATGTATATAGTTCAAAGGCGGTATATTAGCTGTAAGTAGGGATATAGTTCATAAGGACGGTGTTATTAATTAGCATGTAGGATGAAATGGGTATGGGTAAAACCATTCAAACAATCTCTCTCCTTTTAAGTGATAAAAAGAAACCAAGTCTTGTTGTTGCACCAACCGTGGCTGTTATGCAATGGAAACGCGAAATTGAGACACACACAAATAACGCGCTTTCTGTTCACTTATTTCACGGTAACACCTAATTTCTTTTTATAGTACTACGCGTCTTAATACTCACCTTCTTTTTCTATATTCGTAACACAGGCAGCAAACGAACAAATAAAGTAGAAGACTTACAGAAATACGATGTTGTATTGTCTACTTGTAAGTTAGTTATTTGCCTTAAAAAATGATACTCATGAATATATTTAGATTCCGTGGTTGAAAGCTGCTTTAGACGTCAAGAGTATGGCGTGAAGCGCATGGTGCGCGGTAAACCTGCGCTCGTCAAGGAAAAGTCTGTTCTTCATAAGGTAGATTGGCACCGTATTATTCTTGATGAAGCACACAACATCAAAGATCGTGCATGTAATACAGCTAGAGCAGTGGTATGTATAAAGAGAACGATTTCTTACAGCTGTCCTTTATTAATGTATTACATAGTTTAATTTAAAAGCCAATTACAGATGGTCCTTGACAGGTACGCCACTCCAAAATCGAGTAGGTGAGCTCTATTCTTTAATCCGTTTTATGCAAGCAGGTGAGCTTTGAATGTTTTGATTGCTTGCTTGATGATAGTAATGTCTATTTTTTTAGATCCATACGCCTACTACTACTGCATGAATTGCCCCTGTAAGCAGATCAATTGGAAGTTTTCAAACAAAAAAGAGTGTGACGAATGCGGACACAGACCAATGAACCACATGTGCTGGTGGAACAATGAGGTTCTGAAGCCAATTCAAAGTAACGGATATATCGGTGATGGTCGCATAGCTATGGAAAAACTTGGACTACTCCTTGACAGGGTCATGTTGAGAAGAACTAAAGTGGAATGTGCTGATGATCTTGGCTTACCTCCTCGTACGGTGATGGTTCGAAGAGATATTTTTAGTGAAGAAGAGGAAGATATTTACCGTTCATTATATTCCGATGTGTCACGTCAATTTGCCACTTATGTTGAACATGATACTGTGCTCAATAACTATGCTAATATCTTTGAATTGCTCACCAAGATGCGTCAATGTGCTGATCATCCAGACCTTGTTACCAAAAAGGCGTCAGATGCCCAGCAACTTGTATGCATGCTTTGTAATGATCCTCCTGAAGTAAGTAGATAATATTTGTGATTAATGGAAATCTAAGAAGTGTATATGCATGTAGGATGCTATCTCTGCTGCTTGTAAACATGTATTCTGTAGAGAGGTAAGGGCCAAAAAAAAGTAAGAAGAAGGGGGATGATATTGAACTTTGGAATAGTGCTGCATTCAATATTATAGTAGCTTTGATGATTCAGAGGGTGAAGTGCCCAAATGCCCATCCTGTTTTGCAAACTTCTCAGTTGACTTGTCACAAGAACCTATCCAGTTAGAAGGGAGTAGTGGAACCAATGGTAACTATTCTAGAACCAGTATTGTAAACCGCATCAATATGGACAAGTGGAGAAGTTCTACCAAGATTGAGGCGCTTGTTGAGGAACTTTCTAAACTTCGTCGTGAAGACAAAACGATCAAGAGGTGAGAATAAGATACAATAACTATATTTCAAGATTAACATTCTTTGACAATAGTATCGTATTCTCTCAAGTATGTGATGAAGTAATGATACATCCATTACTAACGTCATGTGTATAGTTTGTTAATTTCCTTGACCTTGTCTATTGGAGATTGTCTCGTGCAGGATTTGAATGTATTCGACTGGATGGTACCATGTCTCCTGCTCAACGTGATGCGGCTATTCATCAGTAATGTATTCACGTTCTTTGTGTTATTTGTGTACTAATATTTTGTAGTTTCATGACTAAGCCGACATGCACCGTATTTCTTATTAGTTTAAAAGCCGGTGGTGTAGCATTAAACTTAACAGAAGCAAGCCGAGTCTTTATTTGGTTAGTAAAAATTACATAAAAAGAAAAAGGGAACTTAACGTTATCTTTAGTGATCCTTGGTGGAACCCCGTAAGTACCCTAAATGACCGTTAGTCATATTTTTTAACCAAAATTTTCTCGTTTTTTACCTTATTTTTCACAAAGGCTGCCGAATGTAAGTGATAACTATAGCAACAGTAATAGTTTAAATTAACGTACCTTTTTTTTATATATAGTACAAGTAACTGTCATGGAAACGTATATGATGTGTTTCTTATATTTCTTTTTTTTAGGCTATGGATCGTATTCATCGATTAGGACAGCGTCGACCCATTCGAATTACGCGATTGATTATAGAAAATAGTATAGAAAGTCGTATTGTTCAGTTACAAGAAAAGAAGACAGCGTTAGTCGAAAGTACAGTTGGTAAGTTGGCACATGCTTAATCGAATAAATATAAATGACTAATTTAAAATTAAAAGGTAAAAATTCAAAGGCTCTTGATCGATTGTCTGTTGAGGATTTAAGATTTCTTTTTGTCATGTGAGAAGAGGACAAAGGATGATAATAATAATAATATTAATAAAAAAAAGGCCATGAAAAATTTTCATATGAAACGCTTTGGACACACTGAGTTTTTTTTTATCCATATAAAAATCGTTCTCTTTCATCTTTATTTTCTTTTATTTTCTTTTACTTTTTTTACTTAAAGATGTCTGTTGCTATTAGTGAGAAATTATCTGGTGAGGGACAAATACGTCGTTCTATTCTAGCTGAAGAGGAGATTGTGGATACACCTGCTCAAGGTGTTCATACCTTATATGATGTTTTACAATATTGTGTTAAGAGACGTGGTGACAAGAACGCGTTTGGTTATAGAAATGTAGAAAAGATAGTATCCGAGGAAAAGGAAGTCATCAAGGTAGTAGATGGTGTCGAAACAAAGCAAAAGAAGATTTGGAACTATTTCCAATTATCCCCTTATCATTACATCACTTACAAAGAAGCATCAGATGTGGCTCATCAGTTAGGTTCAGGTCTTGTTCATCTTGGATTATCAACTCACTCCAAGATTGAAATCTTTGCACCTACAAAGTAAATAAAGAAAAAGAGGTAGAAAAAAAAAGTACAGTGATAATAACTGCATGTGAATAGCGTCAATTGGATGCTCATGGCTCATGGTGCCTTCACACAAAACATGGCTATTGTTACTGCTTATGAAACATTAGGTCCCGAAGGATTGCTACACTCGATGAATGAAGCTGAAGTTGAAGCAGTGTACACGACCCCTGATCTCTTCAAGACTTTGGCTACCGTCTTGCCTCAATGTACAGTAAAGCCTATTGTGATTTATAGCGGAGAAGCAAAAGAAAAGGACATTGCCTCCATTCAGGAACACACCAAGATCTATAGCATTGATGAATTGAAAAAATTGGGTCAGGAGCATTTAAAGAAACCTGTTAAACCTGGTCGTGATGATTTATGTTGTATCATGTACACTTCTGGTAGCACAGGTGCACCCAAGGGCGTAATTTTGAATCACTCTAATCTTGTCGGAGCTAGTAAGTTTCGAGAAAATCAAAAAAGAAAAAATTAATTAACCTGCTGTTAGTTGCTGGCGTCGACACACTTCTTGGACATATTATCAATGAAGAAGATACCATGATGGCCTATCTTCCTTTGGCCCACGTTCTTGAGTTTCTTGTAGAGAACCTTTGTCTCTTTTGGGGTGTCTGCTTAGGTTACGGTTCACCACGTACCTTGACTGATACATCTGTACGCAACTGCAAGGGTGATATCAAGGAATTTAGGCCTAGTATTATGACAGGTGTGCCAGCCGTATGGGAATCAATTCGTAAGGGTATCCTGTCGAGCATTGCCAAGACGAGTCCTGCTGCCCAAGCCATTTTCAACCGCGCATTTGCTAGCAAGTCCTGGTTGATGGAACGTGGACTACCTACAGGCTTTTTGGATTCACTTGTCTTTAACAAGATTCGTGAACAAGTTGGTGGTCGTTTGAGATATGGTCTCTCTGGAGGTGCACCTTTAGCTCATGAGACGCAACAGTTCTTGTCTGTTTGTTTAGCACCTATTTTGGGTGGCTATGGTATGACAGAGTCAGGTAACGTGTCAATAGGATAAAGATAAAAGCCCTGGCTAATTGTTGTTTTTATTTGTTTTGCATACCGTGTGAAATGATTAGTGGGGTAAGTTGTGGCTACACAAACATGTGTATTTTTATATGATAAACTAAAAATGTATATAGTATGTGTGCTATTATGACACCAGAACAATTTTCTGTTGGACCTGTTGGAGCTCCAGTACCATGTTGTGAGATCAAGTTGGTAGATGTACCAGAAGCAGGTTATCTTTCAACAAATGAACCTAAACCTCAAGGAGAGATTTGGGTTCGTGGATCTTCCGTGACCAAGGGGTACTTTAAGCAAGAGGCATTGACAAAGGAAACGATCACTGAGGATGGTTGGTTACGAACGGGTGATGTAGGAGAATGGAATGCGGATGGCACACTCTCTGTGATTGACCGTATCAAGAACCTTGTCAAGTTGAGTAATGGTGAATATATCGCATTGGAAAAGTTAGAGTCGGTCTACAAGACGGCACTTGGAGTAAGCAATATCTGTGTATATGGTGATTCACTACGTCCACGTCCAGTTGCGATTGTGATGCCAATTCATTCAAAGGTGATGGAAATGGCAAAGTCATTAGGTGTTGAAAAGCAATCATTTGAGGAATTATGTGAAGATGTTGAAGTGAAAAAAGCATTCTTGGCAAGTTTACAAGGACAAGCCAAAGAGGCTAAATTAAAACCAGCAGAATTGATTGCTGATATTTATTTGACACACGAAGAATGGACTTCTGAAAATGTAAGTTACTAATGATATGTTTGAACAATGATCTAATCATTATATCCAAATAGGGATTTTTGACAGCTGCACAGAAATTAAAACGCAATTATATCAATAAGCATTATAAAGAACAGTTAGATGCCATGTAAGTGTCGATCTTGATTATAAAGCTACGATATTAACTACTACTACTCTTAGGAATGCTGCACAAAAGGTTTAAATATCAGTGCACATTGATGTGTAAATACATGTTTATATCCTATTTTGACTCCTTAATCCCCAACCACTTTTTTTTATATATATAAATGTTGTCAAACTTTTTTCTTATAAATATGTATTAAGGGGCAACACAGAAATGGGAGATGACAGTTCATCCTTAGTATCACCACCCCTCTTTTCTTCTTTCTAAAGGTGGATCAAACATTGATGTGGGGTACAATAATAATAGATATATAAAAAAACGTGTTTCTCGGTCTTTTAATTGGGTCTATCCCGTATGCAAATGTGTGGAGACAAACAAATCCACCGAACCATATAAACATATGACCCCAGAATACTTAATAAACTGTTGCTGTAAAGATTGGTCCAATTGAAGACATTGTATAAATATATTATTTATACATACAAATATATATATATGTATGCGTATATGTGTGCATGTATAAATAGTTAAATATAATTCCATTCAAGGGGGAGGAGGAGCAGAAGGTTCCTTTCTTTCTCTCTTTTATATATAATTCCTTTTCTTTTCTCTTTTTCTTACTCTTTTTCTTTTCTCTTTACTTTTTTTTCTTTTCTTTTCTTTTCTTTGTTTCTTATTATTTTTATTCGTTTTCTTTCTTCTTTTTTATTATTAAATCTTAACAAGTCATTATTTGGTACGTTGGAATGATTTTTTATGTGTGGGGAATTGCTCAAGGAGTTGAAAGGGGGTTAAGGTTGGGCTTGAACTTATGTGCATTTATTTAGAATGATGATGATGATGAATGAAGATACCTGGTCTCATCATCCTGAAGAGGATGACGATCAACAAAAATATACTTCATGGTCTATTCATGAAGAATCTAGAAAGCAATTAATTCAGCGTGCAACCACTCGCCTTCGTCGTAGACTATTGGAAGAAAAGCTTCAAGACATCATGCGTCAATTGATTCATTGTCAGGCTCAATTGGAAACCATTCGTGTTGATACATCTGCCACTATGACCTCCATCACTAATATGCCAGAAGATGCATCTGAAGAAGGCGTCCAAAGGATGAATAGGCAAATGGATGTGTTGGAGAAAAGATTGGAATCTCATAAATTCGATCTTGATCAATTCTTTCTGCCAGCATCAGCAACTGTGACCGTCTCGAGCGAGACATCAGAGGATATGAACGAATCATCTTCTTCTCCCTTTACAGCCCTCTCCATGTCCAGACTCTCTTCTCTTTCCATCATGCCTTCTATCTTTGGAGGCAGTTCTCGCGCAAGCACACGGGCTACTAGCGTCAGTAGCGAATCATTCACAGAGTCCAAGCAAAAGGCTCAAAACGTACATCAGCATGTTAATCAACAAAAAAAGGAAAAAAGACGCAAGCGAGTCAAGCATCACAAGCGTCGCTATCAAGAGAGTGTCATCAGTGCCAGTCTGACCGCTGCTCACATGGGCGACACTTGTTCTGAGCAAGAAGACCAGAACGACTGGCATCGTCGTCGCGTGCTCTGTACTGCTGACGAAGATGATTATGATGAAGAGGACGAACAAGACCCATTCTATGATCTCGCTGGTAAACGTAGTTTTCGTGCTGGTAGCTTCTGTGGAAGTGTCTACTGTGATGGCCAAGAGCCGCGAACACCTCTGCCCTCGCAAGGAGGCAATATGGCGGCATTGGCCTGGAGACGCCGTCAGCGCCGAAAGGAATTCTTACATCGTATGACTGATGATGCTCTTTCATCTGTATCGTCCAATCTGTCAGGCCTTAGACTGTCCAATACCCCCGAACAACGTCATCCATTGATACCATCAAGTGATTACTATGAATACTATCCTGAGACAGAGCACAGCTTTGATAGCCAAGACAGACATAGCCCAGATATTTGGACCTTGCAGTCTCGCTACATGAGTACCCGTCTCTATCCCGAGCGTAATGTCTTGGATGAAGCCATGAGCTTTTTGGACTGCGTCGAACAGACCGGTGATGACGATGGATTCCGCGAGGACCTCTATCTGCTGCTTCGAAATCCTGACCTTTGCCGTCGCCCCTTTTCGGAGATAGAAAGCACGATGCATGAACTTCGCCAGCAAGAGCAACAACGACAGAAACTCTTCAGTCTCATTCGACCTATTCACAGCATGATGTATAAAGCCACGCTCTCCACCTTACAATGGTGCCGATTCCTGAGTGTGCTCTCTGCTGCTGTGGTGATCAGTCTCTTGAAGGGACCTGAAGACTTACTTCATAACCCGCCGATTTCTCGCTAAGTATTTTACCTTCCTTTATTATTACTTTCCTTTTTATACATATATATTCATATACACGTATATATTCACATATATACCCCTTCTTTTTTCCTTTCTTTACTTACTCTCTCTATATATACTATATATACCTATACATCTTTTTATATATTCCCCTCTATTTAATATGTTTGTATACTGCCACAACTTTATGTCAATTTCACCTCTTTTTTTTATATATGTTTGTATAGTTTTATTGTATGTTCCTCCCTTTTTTCTTTATCTTATGTATACATATTATCGTTCAAACAAAAATAACTTTTTTAAATAAACAATAAAGGCGCCTTTATGTAATAACCTGTTTATTGATTTAAGTGGGGCTTAGGCACGAGCATTAACGTGGGGTTTAGGATCAACAGAAATAATAGACTTCAACATCAACTCAATAGCATCTTGTTTCTTTTCAGCTGCAGCCTTTCGAATTTCTTGAATCTTGGCTTCAGTCTCTTCATCTACTTTACCAAGACTTTGATCGGATTGTCCAGAGTTCTAATCAAGGGATGATTAATGTATTATAGAATACGTCAGAATGGTCCAAAATAAACATACCTGTGCAATAAAGTTTTGATATTCTTCATTTTTTTGTGCCTTGATATTTTCAATCTCTTTAGCAGCTTCTGAGCGGGCTTCTTTTGCGCGTTGAACACGGTCTATGTGTATAATATATATAAGAAGGAGATAAAAACATATAAAAAAGATATAGCTTACACTGTTTTGCTTTTTGAACAATCTTGGCTGCTTCACGTTCAGCATCCAAAAGAGTGTTAATACCTTGGGAATTAGAGACAGACTATAAATTGAAAAAGTAAGCTCTTTGAAACATAAAAACTGTTCATGCATTGTCATTACCATCTTATATGTTCAAAAGGGAATAAAAAGGGCGCAAGAAAGCGTTTCAAGACAAAACTATATTTGAAACTCCACATGATGATGATGACACTCTTGATTCAAACTACGCTCGTCGGGGGGCAAAACTAAAGAGGAGCAGACAGTGAAGATAAGGTGGAAATGAATGACAATGTATCTGTCTCTTTTTTCATTCATATAAACAGAGATGGTAAATGATAATCATCCATCCATCCATCTAATAACATATACTAACCTATTCTACTATAGTCCCACAGGTAAATATACAAAATAGCTCACTAAACAATAACAACAACAACAACAACATTACAGAATTCAACTAACCATTTTATAATTCAATCTTGGATAATTTAGAAAGTTTGAGGGTATGATCACACAATGACACAATAGAAGAAACAAAACAACTAATATACACTATAGCTCCTCGTCATGGTCACTTGGGTTTTGGCCCTCGTAAGAGAACTAGATCTCACCGTGGTCGTGTCAAGGCTTACCCTAAGGACGATCAAAAGAAGCCCGTCCACTTGACTGCCTTCATGGGTTACAAGGCTGGTATGACTCACATCGTTCGTGACCTCGAGCGTCCTGGTTCCAGTAAGTATCTATACAATAGATCAATCACTTCAGCTCTAATCATTATTTGCAGAGATGCACAAGAAGGAAATTGTTGAAGCCGTCACTGTTATCGAAGCCCCTGCTATGGTCGTTGTCGGTGTTGTCGGTTACGTCGAAACCCCTCGTGGTCTCCGCTCTTTGACCACTGTCTGGGCTGAGCACCTTTCTGAAGAAGCCAAGCGTAGATTCTACAAGAACTGGTATCGCTCCAAGAAGAAGGCCTTTACCAAGTATGCTGCCAAGTATGCTGAAGGTGCCAAGGACATCAACCGTGAATTAGAACGTATCAAGAAGTACTGTTCCGTTGTCCGTGTCATTGCTCACACTCAAATCTCCAAGGCCAAGCTTAACCAACGCAAGGCTCACATTATGGAAATTCAATTGAACGGTGGTTCCGTCGAACAAAAGGTTGATTGGGCCCGTGAACACTTTGAAAAGGAAGTCGCTGTTGGCTCCGTTTTCGAACAAGATGAAATGATTGATATCATCGCTACCACCAAGGGTCACGGTTTCGAAGGTGTCACTCACCGTTGGGGCACCAAGAAGTTGCCTCGTAAGACTCACCGTGGTCTCCGTAAGGTTGCCTGTATTGGTGCCTGGCATCCTTCTCGTGTCATGTACTCTGTTGCTCGTGCTGGTCAACGTGGTTACCACCGCCGTACTGAAATTAACAAGAAGATTTACCGTATTGCCAAGGGTGTTGACGCCAAGTCTGGTACTACTGAATATGACTTGACCGAGAAGAAGATTACTCCTATGGGTGGTTTCCCTCACTATGGTGAAGTTAATGAAGACTTTGTCATGATCAAGGGTTGTTGTGCTGGTTCCAAGAAGCGTGTTATCACTCTTCGTAAGTCCTTGACTGTTCACACCAAGCGCTCCGCTCTCGAAAAGGTCACCCTCAAGTTCATCGATACTTCTTCCAAGTTCGGTCATGGTCGCTTCCAAACACCTGCCGAAAAGCATCAATTCATGGGTACTCTAAAGAAGGATCTTTAAATTACTCGTATAATAAAGAACAAGGTATAACAATGCCTTTGCTTTTTGTGTTGATAAATTGTAAAAATCGATGTGTTACCTTTTTAAGCTTGCATAAAAAATCACACAATATTTTTTCCCTCTTTTTCTCTTTTATTTACCTTTTCTTTATTATAAAATCATGAATGAATTAAACTGGATGGAAGAAAAGAAGTCGATGGAAGAGGTTCCTTACATCAATCAAGTCTTCAGCACAGATCACATATCACCTCTACTTCCTTCTCCGCCTATTGGAAAGGAATCATTTCTCTTACCAAGTCGCTCTTCTAGTATAAGTGGTACACAAGCCAGTAGTTGGCACCCCCTTTGGAACAGTGGAGATTCCATCTGGAAGACAGATGAGGATTCAGTAGTTCGTCAAAGAAGTAACAGTATGATCCCTTATACAACCGCCGCAGCTTTAGAAGACTATTTTCAACCACGAAAAGGTTTACAGAAAAGACATTCGGTAGTATCAACAGAGTATGATTTTGTATATAGGTATAAAAAAAAAGTAATAATATATAATAATAAAACGATATTAACCTTCATATAGGCAAGAAGGTGTCTATCGACCACCTACGCCACCCTTTCAGGAACCAGTAGTGATCAATCCTACATCAGTGAGTGTAAATGTTCAACAGTTGGGTAAAGGGACACCTATACATCAAGTAAAGAGTAATCAAATGTATCAAGTTCAATTCAAGTTGAATCGAAACGATTACTTTTATTTGAATAAGCATGAAAATATAAAAGTGAATGACTACGTGGTTGTAGAAGGCGATAGAGGATTTGATATGGGAAGAGTGATTGATATAGTAGAAAAGAGAAAAGTAGCAGATAAATACATCAAACAGTTATATTGTAAAGCAAGTAATGTAGACATAGACAACTACTTGACAAAAGAACAAGAAGAACAAAAGGCTTTAGCTATTTGTCAATGGAAGATCAAACAAAAGAATTTAAAGATGAAAGTGATAGATGCAGAATATCAATGGGATCGTCGTAAGCTTACCTTTTATTTTCATGCCTCCGAACGGATTGACTTTAGAGACTTGGTTCGTGAACTATTCAAAATATACAAGACCCGTATTTGGATGTCTTGTGCATAAATAAATTCAATTGTTTCTATTGGATAGCTTATAATCGTCATATGGCAAAAAAAAAAAAAAAAAAAAAATAGGCGTTTTTCATTATTAAAAAGACGGCATTTAATACATAAAATGAGCTTGATATTTTTGAGAGAAGATAAATGTGGTCAGCGCTTCATAATAAAATGTAAAGCTGTTAGAGACTTCATATAAATAGTCTGATCTTGACTTCTCTCTTTCTCTTTTAAATTCTTTTCTTTATAATGTAAGTATTTAATATCAATGTAAATAACTGATTTACTAATAACTTCTTTATTCATTCTTTTGCTTCTGATGGGCTTTCTTTTATTATTATTTGTCGTCTGAAATTATCATTTTTCTATTATTGTGTGAATAATTTCTGAATAAAGTGTAGACTATAAATAAATGACACAGTTCTTTGCATAGCTCACAACTTGGTGTAGATTGTGTTTTAAAGGGATTAAATAGTTGATCATCTTTGGCATGAACAAGCATCCCTGAGTTTAAAACTGGAACAGACAGGTTGTACCTGAAGAATACTTGAGATAAATAATTTTTTGGCATAAATGTACAACATGTACCTATGCTTCTATTCACATTCATATATATGCTTGATTGATCATGACACAGAGCCACTTAAAGAAGTCGTAAAGATTAACTGGTCTAACTCAGAGCATAGACTACTTGACTTTGGGATGGGTTTGGGTGGAAATCAACCTCAGATGTATTTGAGTGAAAATTTATTCCTAGTCTTTCTTTTTTTTTTTTTCACTTTAAATGTCAAAGAATGAACAATTAAATGAGTGCTTGTCTCAAGCTTATAAACTAGTTGGTCAAAAACTAGAACTAAAAGAAGGTTTTTTATTTCTTTTATATAAAAACACTCTAATTAAAACAATAAAAATTAAGAAAAAGGATCGATCAAAGACATCTTGACAAGTAGACTTCAAGATCTCGAATTAGAACCAAATAAAGACGAACCCAAATCTAGTTTTGTTAAGCATTGTTTAAGACTATTAATAAGCATACAAGAATCATTATTAAATTTGTGTTGTCATTCAAAAGGTTAGAACAGACACCAGAAATGAGAAATATATGTTGACCATTTGTTGTAGAGGAAAGCGATAAAGACTTTTTAGGTGTGCGCGACCTTCGATTGATACATACATTACTTGAAATTGTCATCTCTTGGGGATTTTATCCTTGTCTTTTACCTGGCGTTGGATTACCTTTGTCTAAACGAGTCAAGTCAGGTTATACAAATCAAGGTAAAAATATACTAAAAATTTACATATATAACTTACCATCATCTAGAAATATTCGCAAACGATGAGAATGAAGAGCAAACAAAACAGATATCAACCAAGGCATTGCACGATCTTTATGATTTTGTCACTCCTCTAGTCGATCTCATTGCTCAAAGTGAAAAAGTTCCCGAATCAAAGGGCTATACAACAGTTGCATCCATATTGATGACCAGACACTTGGCTGATCTATATGCTGCTCTCTTAGAACTTGCTTATGTACCTGTCACTGAGATTCGAGCTTCTGTTGGTGATACAGTCACACTAGAAAATGAACTACCAATGACACCAGGTCATTTACTTTCTAGTGCCAAAAAGGAAGTAGGGCTGCCTAGGAAGAAAAGAGACAAGTGTGCTCGAATGTTTACGTGGTTATTTGATCGCTCAGATGTACAGAGAGCCATGGAATCCTTGATGTCTCTCATCGGTACGTCTTCACTGCATCCTGTTCCAAGCTGGCTTAGAACTATCTGTGGAAGATTTTTATCTCGTATCCTCTTGAAACCAAATGGTGTTGCTATCGTACTAGAATTTACCATTGGTCAAGTAGAACAGTGTAAGGTCTAACCAAAAAAAAGTAAAGTCTGTCTCGGTTAATGATATGATTAAAGTACAATTGACGCAGCTGGAGAGCATATCCAAGTTAATCTTATCAGTTCCTCAGCAAATGACGTCCATTGAAAGCTATTATTCCGTCATTACGCCTCAACTCCTATCCTTACTTCAAAAAGAAACTGTCTCTGCGACTACAAGTCAAGCTGTTAGGTTCATTATCGGTAGGATCATTACCAAACACCCGAAGCTCGGAAAGACCTATCTCGTTGATAAGATTGTCGACCCACTCGTGTCAGGGTGGAATCAACAAGAATATGATGAGTCAAACGAGGATTTGATGGACAGAGTGATTTTAGATGAAGAGGCGCTTTCTGATCTACTCAAAACGCTACATAAACTCATGATAGGCGGAGAGCCTTCGCCTCTGATGATTCAAACATGTTTGTCCTCTTCCATCCCCTGTTTGTATCATTTGTATGAATTTACAGTTCAATCAAAGTCAGGATTGCGAGAAACAGTGCTTGATCTGTTGCTGACTTATTTTCGTATAACGACAACAGCGGACGGCGTCCGTGAATTAAAGCGGATTTTGCTCAACAAGGTCGATATAAGCGGAGAGCGTATAGCTTACTTTGCACCAGGTCCCTCAGGTGGAGCTACACTACGGCTAAGAAGGTTTGAACCCACATCAATCGTATCTAACAAAATTTTAACATGTCTGTAGAAAACCAAAGGCGTTGGCTAAAAACGACCTTCCGCTGAATGCTGATGTCTTGGTCCAATTTCTTGAAAACTTGGGTGATTTGGATCTATCAGGCGATATTTTTGTATTTCTCTTGAATGAATACTCTTCTCTTCAAGCAAGGAAGACGGATCCAACAACGTAAGCTTAAAGTATTCATGATTCATTTTACTAATTTCCTTTAGAATTCTTTTAACACTCAATTTAGTCATGGGAATGCTGGACAAGTTAGGTCCTAGCATCCTCTCTAAACCAACACAAATTGTTTCCTTTGCTATTAACATTATTGACTCATATGTTGACAAAATGACAACTAGGCCTAAAGAAAAGACAGCTGAAAAATCCAGTTTCCCTGATATCACGCGTATAGTGAGTGAAGAAGAAAAAGAAGCACTTGAGGACGAGTCATCGAGTGAAGAAGATGTGGAATCGCTCATTTTAGCCATTAATCTACTAAGAGCTGTTATGCATGGTAAGTTATTTGAGTAAGCAAAGTAAATGTCCGTTTTATACATTATAAAATAGAAAATGAAGAACTGGATGAGAAATCAGTACAGCTTTTGAAGTCTTGTTTGGAACCATTAAAGAAGCTAGAGAATCATCCGATGGAGCTTGTCTATGAGTCAGTTAATGAGTTCTTATTGGCCATAACATCCTACCTATCAGCTCAAACAATATCAAATAGAAAGCAACAACCATCACTAGAGGCGTCTAAAGAGAAATACAGAGAAGCCATGAAGTCCTTACAGGATGATCTACTGCCCATTAGAGCTCATGGTATGGGAATTCTTAAAGATATGGCTTTAGCAAAGGACCCTCTAGTGTCTTCGGGCGAAGGATTGAGCCAACTGTTGGATATATTTGTTCGATTAATACAAGATGAAGACAGGTACCAAAATAATTGGAATGGCTTATGTTTGTACTAATATACTATAAAGTTATATATACTTGAATGCTGTAAAAGGTCTGTCGGCCATGACGGATGCTTACGGCAATGACATAATCAAAAAGCTCGGTGACATCTATAAGGATAAGAATCAAAAGTTAGACAATAGATTAAGGATTGGCGAAGCATTACTACAGACTGTTCAGAGGTGTGGTGATGCGCTCGGAAAATATAGTAATACGAATGAGACTTTTATTACACTTTGCTCATTAACCTTATATAGTCGATACACTCTTTAGTCCTTTAGAAGCCGTACTGGAGAGACATGATGAAGATAGCCATTTACGTGTTTCTGCTTTATCAGTCTTGGGCATGGCTTGCCAAACATGTCCCGTAGCACTTTATGGTCAAACACCAGAACTTGTTCAATGGGTGCTCAATATACTCGATTTTGAAAAAAATTCAGAGGTTAGAAGAGGTGAGTTACAAAATAAGAAGAAAAGATAGTTCATTCTTATCCTGTCTTTAGCTGCCACTGTGCTTATATTATCGCTCTTTCGAGGGCTTGCACAACAAACACTTTATGAATACCCAACTGAAAGTCTAAGGAGAACATATAGAACATTAAGGTACATTGAAGAAACTGACCCTGATGAGCTCACGCGGTATCAAGCAAGGGTAGCCCTGAGTGATTTAGATACTATTATGCGTAACGAGCTATTTAAAGACTCTAAAAGCCAGGTTTATTCAATTAAATAAACAATATAAAGCGAAAGTCTCTGCTTAAACACATTACCTGTACACATAACTAATTCATCAAGTATAATGAACAACAGAATGAATAATAGAAAAAATACTAGTGAGATGTTGTGAAAAGTAAGCTATACACATTGATAGTTGTTCCGTTGAACGAAATTTGTGGGTACGTGGGCGGTTCGAACTTGTCTGTACGCAAAGTTTTCTTGATTGTCAGATTGAATTTCTGACAGGACGATGCATGTTCGGCTTGATTGAATGGCGAAGATTTTTGTCTGCTATAGGGTGTTGAAGTTGGCATTGGATAAGCGTTGGTATTTTCTTGGAACATTGTCATCGTGCTACAGATCTGTTCCACACTGTCATCCATCGTCTTTGATATACGATCTTTGTGTTGCCCACTCGATGCTCCATAATTAGTCACTCTTCGCTACGCCAGTCGTAACCTAGTCCGTCAATGTAATGGGATTGGCCTTTCTGCCACAGCGCTGGATCCATTTCCGATAGTGCAGTGTGTCGGGTTTCGCATTCGCACCAGCCAAAGGTGAACACTACATGCACTAGAAAGCAGACTAATGTTACGAGTGCTACCTTTACCCACTACCTGTGATGTCGTCAACAAAACTTTTCGATGTGTGGCACCATTCAACACTTTAGTCTGCCGTTACCTGCTTCTGGCGCTTTGCGCGGCTGGATCTTGTCGCTTGGGCCGTTTTCATCCTTTTTTGGCCAATTATAAGCTATTGAGCGCGATATACCAAGTTTGGCACCAAATTTGCCAGCTGAGAGTTGCTTTTCATGGTAAAAAAGAAATGCTCCTTCTGCTTATCTAGTACGAGTTATATGTCGTACTGCCTTATTATGTCCCTTTTTTTTTTCTGTTGCTCAGACAGCTTTTGGGTCATGTACACGTCGAAATCCGCTATGTTATCCAAAAGATACTTGTTTTCATCAACTTTCATTACTAAAACATAATTATCTGCCTCGCCTCTGGTGTTTCTATGCCCATCTTCGTAAACAACCTCCATGAAGTTATGCAAAAAAAAACCAGTAAAGGTAAAATGTTGCCAAATGGTTTTGAAAATCCATCCAAACTTGATTTGCAGATTTGCTCTAATTCAAATACCGCCCTGTGTATAAAAAAAAAAGAGCGTTAGGGATAATCATTTTGCACTGTTACTTTTTATAGAAGCTTTAGCACCATTCTTAAATGTGCTGAGAATATTGTTGAGGTAACTCGGATTTTTATCCAATTGATCTCTATCCTTGATATGCATTGACGCATTGTTAGTTTCCCTCATTTTTATCAAATCATCCATAGTACAAAAAGGTGTAGTATATCTCATCCTTGACTATAAGAATTCTCTTGCTCATCCAACCAGCTGATATTGGAGTCTTTTGGCAATCGTATGACAATCTCTTCCCCAGACAGGCTTCAACACGACATGTCTATCTATTGATATTCAGACAGTGCCTTATCTCTTCACATATACTGTTTTATATTTCTCCCTGGTTAATTTCTTAAGCAATCTCCTTATTTCATAGTCTTCCAACTTGCTTGTATATCTTCTGCGTCCGGTTCCTCCGGCATGCAAGCTGTAAAATTTTTATTAAGCAATTGAATTTTGTATGTATAAAATTATGTCATGTTTCTTTATTAATAACAAGAATAGATGAAAATAAATAAGAAAGTATTTAAGGCTTATCGTGGTAAAAGCTAAGAGCATGAGTTTCCTCCTTAATACCCTTTCTTCTACAGACTGGAAGGGCGACCTCGTGGGCCTTGTTACTGAGATCCAAGGCATAACCGCCCACGTGTTGCCAGTGATCAAAGATAGCTTGAGAGGAAGCTTGACCAGAGGTGGCGGAACGAAGATCAGCGTTGAAACCTAAAGATTCGCTAACGGACAAGTAGGCCTTGACGTTGACAATAGGAGTATCAGGCTTTCATTCTTCAGAGAGGACTTGACTACGACGCCTGTTGAGATAAGAGTAGATACCACCGATAGCAGAATCAGGGCATTGGATTTCAACAAGATGGACGGGTTCTTGAATACGAGGAGAGGCAGTAAGAACGGAAGCATAGACTACACGACGACAAGTAGGAATGATTTGTCCACCACCACGGTGAATAGCATCAGCGTGAAGAGTGACATCCAAAATGTTGAAACGACAACCACGGAGGCTTTTATCCATAATAGGACCTTCCTTGGTGGCCCATTGGAAGGTAGAGACACAAGAATCCTTGATTTCACCGAGGTATTGGACTTGCTTGGTGGTATCAACCAACAAGTTGGGTCCGGTACCGTCAGGACCGAAACATCAGATCTTACGAGCTTCAGTAGCATCCCATTCGTATTTGTCAGCAAGGACACGAGCACGAGACTTGAAATCATCCTTGGCAGAGACCTTACCAGCTTCAATTTCGTCAGTGAGTCCGTAAGCCAAAGGATAAGCACGCATATAGATACGGTTGTGCTTGTTGGGAGGCTTGGCAAGACAGTCGATGCTGGATTGAGCAATGACAGTTTCACGGTATTGGACAAAGGGGTAACTAAACCTGAGGGGAACTTGAGCGTGGACTTCTTCAAGATCCTTCAAACAGATTTCAAGATGGAGTTCACCAACACCAGCGACGATATGTTCACCAGTGTGGAAACTGTAGGTCAAGACACAAGCATCGGACTTGGCAAGGCACTTGAGACCTTCGACGAGCTTGGGAAGATTGTTGGCGTCCTTGACCCCGACACCGACTTGAACGACAGAGGAGACAGAGAACTTCATGACCTTCATGTTGTGGGCAACTTCGGAGGTGGTGATGGTACCAGACTTGACCAAGAATTGATCGACAGCAACTAGACCAATGATGTTACCGGCGGGACAGTCTTCAATAGCTTCAACGTTACGACCCATCATGAGAACGGTACGTTG